AAAAAAAAAAGTAGCCAAGCATTGATGTGCTGCCTGTAGCCCTAGCTACTAGGGAGGCTGAGGTGGGAGGATCACCTGAGCCCAGCAGTTTGAGGTTGCAGTGACCTATGATGATCGTGCCACTGCACTCCAGCCTAGGTGGATAATTGACTACTTTGACAGAGATAATATATTGCATAACATGTGTGGCAATAATAGTGTAAAGGGCTGGAAGGGAGAAACAGTAGTGTCCTATTGTAAGATTTTTGTAATATATATGTGGTGCTATAATATTACTTGAAGGTATATCATGGTAAGTTAAAGAGGTAACTATAAACCCTAAAGGAAACACTAAAATAATAAAATAAAAAGTTATAGCTAATATACCAACCATAAAAAATAGTCAAAAAATCCAAAGAAGTCAGGAAAAAGAGAATTAAAAAAGACAGAAAATGTAGAAAATAAATAGCAAGATGATAGATTTAACTATATCAATAATTATATAGTTACATTATAATAATTATATCATATAGTAATATGATATAATTACTTCAATTAAAAGCTAGAAATTAATAGACTGGATTAAAGCACAAAAACCAATTATTATGCTGCCTACAAGAAATGAACTTTAACTATAGAGACACAATTGGGTTAAAAGTAAAGGAATGACAAAAGATATACCATAGTAACACTAATCAAAAGAAAGTTGCAGTGACTATTTTAATATCAGATTCAGAAGATGTCAGAGCCAAGAATATTACCTGGGACAAAGTCATTTAAATTGATAAAGGGGTCAATTAAGAAGGTATATATAACAATACTAAGCATTATGACCTTAACAGCTTCAAAGTACATGAAGTAAAAACTGATAGAACTGGAAGGAGAAATGGAGAAATCTACAGTTACAGTTAGAACAGTCAATGCCTGTCTCTCAATAATAGATAGGACAAGTAGACAGAAAATTGTCAAGAATATTGTATTCATTTTCCACAGTGTAGCCCATTTTCATACTGCTATAAAGATACTACCTGAAACTGGGTAATTTTAAACAAAAGAGGCTTAATATACTCACAGTTCCCCATGGTTGGGGAGGTCTCAGTAAACATATAATGACGGCAGAAGGTGAAGGGGAAGCAAGGCATGTCTAACATGGCAGCAGGAGAGAGAGAGAGCATGCAGGGGAAACTGCCACTTGTAAACCAGATCTTGTGAGAACTGCCTCACTATCTGATAATGGCATGAGTGGAACTGCCCCTGTGATCCAATCACCTCCCACCAGATTCCTCCCTTGACATGTGGGGATTACAATAAGAGATGAGATTTGAGTGGGGACGCAGAGCCAAACCATATCATTCTGTCCCTGGTCCCTCCCAAATCTCATCCTTTTCACATTTCAAAACCAGTCATTCCTTCCTAACAATGCCCCAAAATCTTAACTCCTTCAAGCATTAACCCAAAAATCCAAGTCCAAAGTCTCATCTGAGGCAAGGCAAATCCCTTTTGCCTATGAGCCTGTAAAATCAAAAACAAGTTAGTTACTTCCAAGATACTATGGGGGTGCAGGTATTGGGTATATGTTCCCATTTCACATGGGAGAAATTGGCCAAAACAAAGGAGCCACAGGCTCCATGCAAGTCCAAAACCTGGCTGGGCAGCCATTAACTCTTAAAGCTCTAGAATTTCCTTTGTCTCCATGTCTAACATCCAGGGCACACTGGTGCAAGGGGTGGGCTCCCATGGCCCTGGGCAGCTCCACCCCTGTGGCTCTGGAGGGTACAGCCCCTGCAGCTGCTTTCACAGGCTGGCAATGAGGGCCTGCAGCCCTTCCAGGCAAACAGTGCAAGCTGTGGGTAGATCCACCTTTCCGGTGTCTGAAGGATGGTGGCCTTCTTCTCACAGCTCCATTAGGCAGTGCTCCCGTG